GCTGCCCCATGCACTGGAAGCTGCACACCATGCTTCAGCTCCTTGCGCCCCCAGGGGTTTTCAGAACCATTTTTTTGGCAGGGTTTGGTGCAGCACTGGCACACAGGGTGTGGACAGGGCAGGCAGAGCTTGGGCAGGGCCCCATGCCAGGCCCCGGCTGGGGCAGGAGGAGGGGGCTGAGCCCCCATCAATTATTCACCTCCATATTTATAGAGGGAAACGTGTTGAATAATGCATGGCGGGTGCGGCGGGGCCATTGGGAAGCCGGCCGTGCTGCCGCTGCAATATTTATTGGCCTGGTTTGCTGGGTGCTGCCCGGCTGCCTCCAGGCTCCACGGGCATCGGCAGCACTCCCGGCTGGCACGGGCACCTGGCTGGCACAGCGGGCACAGGCAGCTCTGTTCCTCYGCCTCTGCCTCCTCTCCCCTCCACTAAAATGCACTGAGGGCTGGATYCCCTCTGCTCTGGAGCCAGGCTGGGAGAGTGGGGGGTGTTMACCTAGAGAAGGGTCCAGGGAAATATTTGAGCCCCTTCCAGGGCCTAAGGGGGCTGCAGGAGAGCTGGAGAGGGACTGGGGACAAGGGGTGGAGGGACAGGACACAGGGAATGGCTTCACACTGAAAGGGAAAATCTAGGTTGGATATATGGGAAAAACTCCTCCCTGTGAGAGTGGTGGGGCCCTGACACAGAGTGCCCAGAGAAGCTGTGGCTGCCCCTGGATCCCTGGCAGTGTCCAAGGCCAGGCTGGACGGGGTTTGGAGCAGCCTGGGACAGTGGAAGGTGTCCCTGCCCATGGCAGGGGTGGAATGAGATGAGCTTTGAGGTCTTTCCAACCCAACCCATTCTACAGATCCTGCTCTGTCTCCTATTGGCAGCTGGATTCCAGTCAGAGGGGTGTGAATGTTCAGGGACAAATCCCCATCTGTCCCTCATCACAGGGGGACACCAGGGCCCTGCAGCTTCTGGGAGGACCCTGCTCTGTGTCCYGGACATGTCCCCTCTGTGGCTGTGCCCAGCAGCCCTGCACCATGTGGTCCCATGTGCCACTGTGCTCAGGGACCCCCGGGATCTCCATCCCCACCTCCCCCAGCCATGCCCACCCTCCCTGCCAGGCTGGCATTCCCTCATCCCATACTCCTGTATTACAGAGAGACCTGTGGAAGATGTCGAACCCGAGAAACGGTGACACCAAGCCCCCATGTTTGCCCCGCAATGGACTGGTGAAGATCCCCACACAACCCAACGGCCTCGGCTCCGCCAGCATCACCAAAGGCACCCCTGCCGTGAAAAACCGCCTGTGCCAGCCTTCCTCCGTGCCTGCCATCCTCAGCCCGGCCTTAGCCCACCGCAGCGACCTGYCCATCCCCAGCCTGGCCTCCCCGCTCTCCCTGGCCACTCTGGCCAGCGTCTCCTCCCCTCCCGGCGCTTCCTTGGTGGGACTGAACGCCAGCGAAGGCTCGGAGCAGCCCTCTCCGGAGCGGCTGCTGGGCTCGCCCTCGGAAAGGCAGCTGGCGGTGGACGAGAAGATCCTCAACCGCTTGTTCTGGTACTTTTCGGCATGCGAGAAGTGCGTGCTGGCGCAGGTGTGCAAGGCATGGCGGCGGGTGCTCTACCAGCCCAAGTTCTGGGTGGGCTTGACGCCCGTCCTGCACACCAAAGAGCTCTACAACATCCTGCCCGGTGGAGAGAAGGAGTTYGTCAGCCTGCAGGGCTTCGCCGTCCGCGGCTTCGACGGCTTCTGCCTCGTGGGCGTCTCCGACCTGGACATTTGTGAGTTCATTGACAACTACCCCCTCTCCAAGAAGGGGGTCAAGTCCATGAGCCTTAAGAGGTCGACCATCACAGATGCGGGGTTGGAGGTAGGTGACCCTGGTGACTGGGTCAGTGGGTCAGTCCRGGTGGCCTTGCACACGGGCAGAGCTTTCACTGGGGGCAGGAAAGGAGCAGGAAGGTGGCATGGCCACCCCACAGGTGCTGGCAGCACGGCGAGACCCTGCCCATGGTCGGGGCAGTGGGATGGGCACAGCCTGTGCAGGCAGGGGATCAGGGTGCTGTCTGGGGTCATCCCTGCAGCCTGTGGGTGCTGCTGGGTAGGCAGAGCCAGTGAGGTGGCCGTGCTGCTGGGCGGTGGGTGTGGCAGTGGGTGACAAGGAGGGCTCTGGGAATGGGACATCCCTGGCTGGCTGGCTGCTCGCCAACAAGGGGGTCACCCGAGCAAGGGGCTGAGGGTCAGATAGAGATGGGGCAATTCTGACCCCTCAGGGCTATACAAGGTCCTCACCCACCAAGATCCCTGCTCTGCACCCCGGCCAAACATGGCCCCAGCTGCTCTGCGGGCACATTTCACCCGAGCAGTTCCTGTGCTGGGAGAGGGCATCAATCCTGATCCTGTCAACAGCGTCTGGCTGTTGGGATCACACCCAGAGATCCCTGCCTGCCCCCTCCCATTCCTCACTGATGCTGACATGTCCTAGAGCAGGTGCTGAACCCTCATCAGGGAGGTGCTGGAGAATATCAGACCCAGGCAAGACTGGGAGCCATGGGAAGAGCAGTGGGGAGCTCAGTGGAGCTGGGGCAGGGGCTTGGGACCGTACAGGGTGGGCAGCAGTGCCCAGCATGGCCTGACCCACTGCTCCTTGGCAGGTGATGCTGGAGCAGATGCAGGGCGTGGTGCGGCTGGAGCTGTCGGGCTGCAACGACTTCACGGAGGCCGGGCTGTGGTCCAGCCTCAACGCCCGCATCACGGCGCTGAGCGTCAGCGACTGCATCAACGTGGCCGATGACGCCATCGCCGCCATCTCGCAGCTGCTGCCCAACCTCACCGAGCTCAACCTGCAAGCCTACCACGTGACGGACACGGCGCTCGCCTACTTCACCGCCAAGCAGGGCTACACCACCCACACCCTGCGCCTCAACTCCTGCTGGGAGATCACCAACCACGGCGTGGTCAACATGGTCCACAGCCTGCCCAACCTGAGCGTCCTGAGCCTCTCGGGCTGCTCCAAGGTGACGGATGATGGCGTGGAGCTGGTGGCCGAGAACCTGCGGAAGCTGCGCAGCCTCGACCTGTCCTGGTGCCCTCGCATCACCGACATGGCCCTGGAGTACATCGCCTGCGACCTGCACAAGCTGGAGGAGCTGGTGCTCGACAGGTACGGGGCTGTGCTGAGCCGTGCCGAGCCGTGCCATGCCGTGCTGTGCTGTGCCATGCCGTGTTGAGCCATGTTGGGCTATGCCATGCCATGCTAAGCTATGCCAAGCCATGCCAAGTCATGCCATACCGTACTGAGCCTTGCCATGCCATGCCAGGCCATGCTTGAGCCATGCTGTGCCATGTCACCCCATGACAAACCATGCCGTGCCATGCTGAGCCGTGCTGGAAGCAGAGGGTGCAGCAYGGGGGCCATGGTTTGGGGACACCCACAGGTGACCAGCTGGCCCTGACACCCCATGTCCCGGCAGGTGCGTGCGGATCACTGACACCGGCCTCAGCTACCTGTCCACCATGTCGTCCCTGCGGAGCCTCTACCTGCGCTGGTGTTGCCAGGTAGGTGTGGAACACAGCTGTGCCTGTCCTGGCTCGGCACAGCAGGGAGGGCATGGTGGCACCTGGAATAGGCCATGAGCTCAGGGTGGGCTCCCTGGGCTGGCTGGAGACCCCAAGACTTGGTGCTGGGAGGCAGAGAGCTCCCGTGAGCTCAGCAGGACTCAGCCCTGGCATCCCAGCCCTGCATCCTGCTCCAGCCCCAGCCTCCCTGCCCCAGCTCCCTGCCCCCTGTCCCACCACCCTGGCCCTGCCCCAGCATCCTGCTACACCATCCCACACCCTGCTGAGGCTCCCTTCCCCAGCACCCAGCTCCCTGTACCCTATCCCACCCTGCCCCAGCACCCAGAGCCAGCACACTGCCCCAGCATCCTGCACCCTGCTTCGGGTCCCCAGCCCTGGCACCCAGCTCCCTGGCCCAGCTCAGAGATGCTGAGCCCCRGTGCKGTGGRTGYCCCTCATTGTCCCCTCTCATCCCCACCTCATCTTCTTTTCCAGGTGCAGGATTTTGGCCTGAAGCACCTCCTGGGCATGGGCAGCCTGCGCCTCCTCTCGCTGGCTGGTGAGACCCTCACCCTGCTTCCAGGGATATGGGACCCCATAGGGCTGGGGAGACACCAAGCACAGGGACAGGGACTACTCTGGGCATAACATGGGCAGAGCCTGGGGACAGCCAGCATCCCCCCAAGACAGCAGGCACCTGCTTGTGATGAAAGATCCATGGCTGGGCTCTTGCAGTCCTGTGGTTTTTTGGGTGGTGGTGTTTTGGGTGCTGCATTTTTGGGGTGCAGAGTTTTTGGCATGTWGGTTTTTGAGGAGTTGTTCAGGGAGGCACGCTTTCTTTGGCGTGCTTTTTTTGAGTACTGATGCTTTGGGATGCTGTTTTTTTGAGCTGACATTTTTGGGGTGCAGGTGTTTTGAGTGCTGTTTTTTGGGGTGTTTTTTGGTGTTTTGGAGCACTGTTCTTTAGTGCTAGTTTTCTGGGTTGTGCTTTTTGGGGTTTTTGGATGTTAATTTTGATGGTGTTAGTGTTTTGGGATGCTGGTGCTTTAGGATACGTTATTGGCGTGTTTTTTTTTGGATATGGTTATTGGCGTGCATTTGAAATTTTGGTTTTTTTAGGATATGGTTATTGGCGTGCATTTTTGAGTGCTAGATTTTTGGGTGCTGATATTTTGGGTGATTTTTGAGGGGTGTGTTGGGGTTTTTTGGTTTTGGGTTTTTTTTGCATTCTGAGGGTTTGGGGTTCTGTCTTTTGGGTGTGCTGAGGCTTGAGGTGCTGAGTTTTGAGGTGCTTTTCTTTTGGATGTAGGCATGTCTGTGGTGCTGGGATTTCGAGGTACTAATCCTTTGGAGTGTTATTTGGGGGGTATTTTTGTGTTTTGGGATGCTGGTGCTTTTGAGATGCTGTTTTTTGGGATGCTATTTTTTGGGGACGCCGGTGTTCTGGGCTGACAATGCACCTTGTTCCCTCACAGGCTGCCCCTTGCTGACCACCACGGGGCTGTCGGGGCTGGTGCAGCTGCAGGAGCTGGAGGAGCTGGAACTCACCAACTGCCCCGGGGCCACCCCGGAGCTCTTCAAGTACTTCTCCCAGCACCTCCCGTGCTGCATGGTGATCGAGTAGCGGCGGAACCCGGCCGCCCGCTCCCGCGCCCGCCCCGGCCGCCAGCGCCCACCCCATCTCCCTCCGGCTGTTGGGGGATTCGAGAGACGCCCCCGATTCCAACCGAGCCCGATCATCCCCCGCACCGACAYCCCCGAGGGACGCGGGGCTCCGGGGGGAGATGGGGGGAGGCGTCGCCCCCGGCCGGAGCCCCCCCGGCTACCATGTAAATTCCCCCCACGCCGCCGCCATCGCCCGCGCTCCTCCCGGTGTCCTGCCAATCCCTTCCGGACAGACGAACGGACATCATGGAAGCCCAAAATGGGAATGCGAAGCTGTGTGATCCCCCCGGCCGCATCCTGCTCCCCCCGCCCCGGTGCCGAGCGGGCACACGGCCCCGCCGCCAAGGATGCTCCTGGGGACCAAAGGATGCTCCCAGGGATGGGCGAGAGGAGGATGCTCGTTTTTGGGTGGCTGCGGAGGCTGGATGGGTCCCCTCACGCCCCCGGAGCGGTCACCGAGCTCACCCCACCCCGTACCGCGTGTCYCCTCCAGCCCCCGGCCCTGCCTTTGGGGCGCTCTCTCCCGGTGAATAGGATGTCCCTCTCCGCCCGCCCGCCGCCCTCGCATGCTCGCTTGCTTCAGTCTCGTGCTACGGCAGGTTTCGGGGTACCCGGGGGGACGGTGACAAGTGACAGCCCCCAGTTAGTCCCTCCACGCGGCTTCGCCCCGGCCGGATCCTGCCCCGGGAGCCAGGCTCTCCTGGCGAGCATCCCCCGTGGCCCTGGGGACCTCACTGCACCCCGTGGGGCTGGGGGGGTGATGCCGAGGAGCCACCCATCCGTCTGGGATGGGACATCCCGGGGGACCAGGGCCAGCTCTGAGCCACCACGGCGACACCGGCAGCACAGAGAGACAGCAGCAGGTGGCACCTCGGACACACTGCCACCGCCACCGCTCTTCCAGCTGAAAAGCCATYGCCCCGATGCCAGCGGCAAGCGGGGCACCGGGGGGACCCCTGGGCTGAGCCGAGATGGCACCGAGCCAACGCGGGGCTGGGGTGTCCACGGGGACCCAGCGCGGGAGGGGCTCGGTGGCCGTCCCCGGGCCATTGCCCGCTGCCATACCAGCCCTGGGAGGAGCGTGGGCATGGATACGGCCATGGACGTGGGCATGGACACGGGATGGGCACGGACACGGACACGGACACGCTTTCGGTTTGTTTTGCCTTTGTACCGGCCGGGAAGGAACTGCTGCACCAACCGCCGTCTCCGCTCCCTCCTTTGTCTGAAACGCCCCTTTCTCACCCCAAAATGTTGCAAGGACTCTCGTGGCCTAGGAAGGGGGTTTGGGAGTCGTCAGGGCCCGGGACAGGCTGGCTGGGGTCCGGAACACTCTGGAGTGGGGAGCTGCCTGCACCCCAAAAGCCACCAATGCCCCTGGCACATACACCAGGGACAGCACATGGGCCTGCCATTGGGGCCAGGCAGGACAGGGCCACACAGAGGGTCCCCCCATCCCCGCAGGTGACAGCAGCAGTTTTGGGTGACATCAGCTCCGCGCGACTCCCTGGTCCCAGGCTACACAGACAGACCCAGCACGGCACCCATACCCTCCTCTGCACCCCCATGGCAGTGCATCCCCATAGCCCTGACACCCCCACTCCCCTGTGCACCCCCACATCCCTCCAGTGCATCCCCA